CAGGTTGTAAAATAGCTTGCTGAAGACAGATACGGTTAACGAAAACGAAGATAGAAAACGCAAAGATAGAATAGAAAAGACGGCGACAACAATGTCAAGTAAAGGAAAACACCTGCGCCAGAGGCTGCAGAACGTACAGGAAAAAGAAAGGCGAAGAACAGAAATACTCGTAAATGAAAAGGAATGAAAACAAAAAGAGAGTTGCAACGAAGGGTTGGGTGGGTGGGCTTTTAAAACTTTGACGGCTGCGGAATGCTTTTGGCGGGAAGGGCGAATGCTTCAGCAATCACGATCATAAGAGAAGAGATCGTGAGGGTTAAAAGAGAAGCAAGAGAAGAAGTAAGAAGAGCAGTCACAAGTGATCTCGAGCACGTGTCGGTGCATTCCCGACAGGATGGAAGAGGTGTTGTTTCGCGCGTTCCAATTGGAACACATCGCGAAAGTGCATCCTGAACAACCAGTGTTGTACAAACGTGCGTCATGGACTTGGGCTCTACACATAAAACTTCATCTTCGCATTTCGCGGCACAAAAGCATTAACCAAAACAACGAATCAAGAAAAGAGACCAAATATCACGCCAACCACAACCAAAATAGCAGCAAACTAAATAAGTGACACGCTCTTTCTTCAGAGTACGAAACTCAATCAGAACCGCTTCCCTAACCCTAACCCTAACCCTAACCCCGCCCTTTCCTACACCACGGCAGCCCCAACACCAACGCACACAGCACAAGACAGCAGGTTGCGCACGCCACGCCACCATGTACATACGCTATGTTTCTCCCTCCGTCTCTTACAGCACCACACACTCAGCAGCAGAGAGCCCTCTATAGCACGCCCACCCCACAGCACACCTGTCCAGCCATACACAACACGCAGCCACTCACCGTCAGGCCACACACACGCACCAGACGGAGCAGTGTCAGCGTCCCCCGCACGGTGCACAGCGGCAGATTCCTCAGTTTGGGCCGCACTCGCAGCACTCCCAGAGCGGCTACCCCTAAGCCGTGGGAATTGCCATCGTCACACGTCTCCAGAAAGGTGACGGCCCACAGACGGACCAATACTCCCCTGTACACGTTGCTCGCCTGCCGGTTGGCTCAGTAAAGGGTCCGGCTCTCATGCCGTGCAGAGGATCGTGTTATGTTCGGCGTGGCCAGGCCCACGAGTCGACCACCACCACATCTGGCACAGACATCGCCGCAACTGTCGCAGCCCTCGTCGTGCCATGCCTCTGTTTCGCGCTGGTGCTCTTTTCACCTCCGCTACCGTGGTGGCGGCCGCCTGTCTCTCAACAAACTCCCGGCAAGAGTCAGCTCCCTTTCGTACCCCTTCTTCGCCCCTGCTCGTCTCCATTGCCTGTTGCCGTGCGATCGTTGAGGAAGAGGTGGGTTCATCACATCGAAGCTGGCGCGGTGTGCGGACGGTTGAGCACGTGACGTTGCGACACTCTGCCGTTCAGCAGGAAGCCGCCGTTGCTGCTGCAGTTGCTTCTTCTTGGTGGGCAGCTGCCGCGCCTTCTTTGGCCCCTCGCCTCGGTGGAGTGGTGCCGCAGTGGTAGACAGCGTCGCGTCCGGCACCCGAAGAGCCCGCCACACACCACCACGGCGACGCCCTCTGCCTCTTCCACGGCGCCGGTGCAATCACCTCGAAGAAGGAGTTCTTGCGCGAGATGCGGTGGTTCATCAGCGCTCCAGCGACGCAACACTCCACGTCAATGCTTGAAAGATAGAGGACGCCTTGACGGTGCACCTGCTCAGCGGGAGCCACTTGGCGTTCTCGGCAGTCAGAATCATTGTCGTGACTGCTTTAATTTCTCTTGTTTTCGTGCCTTTATCTCAAATTCTTCTCCCTCTTTCCACTCCGTTTTCTCAGTCGCATCTTCTTTCCTTTTACAGTTATATGTAGCTGTTCTTCTCTTGTGTGGTCCCGTAAATCTTGTATTTCTTCCGCTTCCCTCCTCTTTGAGCGCAAATGCCTGCCGTCAATTATCGTCACCTCCTTCTCTCTCCGTATCAAACACCTCACTTCAGATGTGTATTTTTCTTCTTAAGATTTCAAGTCTCGGAAGGTCAACCGTTCTGGTCTTCTCTATTGCTACATAGAGGAGGACTGGCAACGTTGCAACAGACCGTTCTTCTTTCAGCCAATCAAGTGTTGCGTTTTGCAAAGCGGATCATGAAGACGGTAAAAAAGGCCCCTGGGTCTTCTTGCATCGACTCACATGCTGGCCAAAGAATGACCGTACTCCACCCTCTTCTTCTTGCTCTGTTCTTCAGAGGATGCAAAGCAGTGCTGAGACTGCGGCAGTGACAATCCACTACCAAGTAATATAGAAAGGAAAGAGCTGTGATACAACTGAGACGCTGCACTCGGCATGTTCGAGCCACTTCTGTCTGGTTTCCACCTTTTCCAAACGCAATGCACTTCGATGCGCAGGAGTCCGCTTTTCCTTTCATCTACCATCCCCTTTTGCGGTACCACACTTATCCCCCCTTAGGCAGCTCTCAGCAACTGGCACTATAATAACCCACAGTACCAGGGGAGCAGAGTTGCTCGATGATCGCATGGCTCCGATCCGCTGCCTGGTAACGTGGAAAAGAAAGGACACTGTTGCCGTTGTAGCACCGTGTCAATCGTGCTCAACAGCCGTTGTAGGTGACGGTGACAGCTCATCTGTGGATTCGAAGTGCTGCCTCACCTCATTCCCTTTCGACGAAGCACACGCATCGGTGGAAGTACCTGGGAACAGAAAGTGTTCAGCTATTATGCCGCTTGAGAAGCAGCACGGTCCGCTACGTCCTTCATCTGTGATCGAAGCACTCGTGAAGGCAGTTTGCTCTAAGGACCAAATGCACGTAAGACAAGACGAAAAGAGACAAAGATTGGACGAGAGAAGAGCGGGGAGACAGCATTGTGTAAAGAATGGCGAGAAAGGTGACATTACCAGCAATTCAGCAGTACCAACAGCTGTCCCTTACACGCTCTAACGTCGCAGATGAAACGTCACTGCAGGGCACTATATCCTTGCAATACAAACTTGCTGCGTTGCTTGCGCACTTGGGAGAGCCTCCCGTATGATCTTCTTCCGCTGTTCCATCATGTTCAACACTCTCTGGGGGTGGTGTTATTATTGCCTTAGTTCAGACACCTTTCACGTACAATAGACAAGAAAGAAAAGGACAGATGAATTCAAACGTGGAGTTTTGCGCAGCGGGCAGTGCCAAAGAGACGCTATTCTCCCTGTCGTTGCCCACCGACGCATACAAAAAGAAGAAGGGGATTGTTGTAATCCACCTGGAGTAATGGGACATTATGTGACTTAGAAGCGCCAGTTCGAAGGACTTGTACGCCCTGAAACGCCTCGAAGCCATGAAAAGAAAAAGAGGGGTACGGCATCGATCGAGCCAACACTTACAAAAAAAAGAGCTCAAAAGAGAAGGAGCCCGCAAAAAGAAGAGCATTATTATTGTTTTGGAGGCGCAGCCCGACCACTTACGAGTGTTGCGACGGTGCTGAGTCAGCGCTGCTGTGCCACCGAGTACAAAAATAAAGACAGTGAGAATGAAGTTAAACGCCTGACCGGTTTGACAAAAGACGTTTTATACAACAGTGGGAGAGTTAAAAGAGAAAGCCTCTGCAAACTGCGGAGACTACCCGGATTTCTACTTTCAATCGGCGTAGTCCACGCAGCTGAGCTTTCAAAACATACCGTTGGGTAAAAGGCGCAGTTTTAATTACCAGGTATGCAGACAGTAAACAAGAAAAGAAGAGTGATTCGAGAGCGGAAAGCTATCGAAAGAGCAAGGTACAAAAAGGAATGAAAAGGAATAAAGCGGTAAGAAACAGATGACACCGCAAGGGGTGGTTGATCACAGACACTCCTCGCCAGTGCAATCAAGTACAAAAATGACGAAAGCTTAATAGAAGAAAAAGGAACGCGTGAAAGCTGTCGAGTTCCAGCCTTGCTGTCCTCTATCACTGGAGCACGATGGAGGAATTCAGAAAACGAGCGCGCGTACAGTTTGTACCATATAGTGTTAAACGCCTTAAACTGGGGGATAGAGCAAGGTCATCCACATTCACTAGGTGCCTGTTCAGACTCACATCGAGCTCAGCGAGTCGTGGGCAGCGGTAGAGATCACCTACGCTGCGCAGACCACATTCACTCGCTTTGATGATCCGAAGTGCTGGTGCACCAGCAAGGCCGCTCAGGTTTTTCAAGACGTCGTTGAGGGAGATATCGATCTCGCTGAGTAGTGGGCACCTGTTAAGGCCATCTATGCAGCTTATCACACACTCGCTCGCTTTGATAACGCGAAGGGAAGGTGCCCCACCAAGGCCGCTCAGGTCTTCCAAAGAGACATTGTCGGAGATATAGATCTCGCTGAGTAGTGGGCACCCGTTGAGCCCAGCGACATTGCGCAGCCGACACCCCTTCGCATTGAGAATCCGAAGGGATGGTGCACCAGCAAGGCCGCTCACGTCTTCCAAGATCTCGTTGTAGGAGACGTCGACCTCGCCGAGTTGTTGGCAGCTGTTGAGACCGTCAACATTGCACAGTCGCTTGCAGTGGTTGACTGCAAGTTCCTCGAGACTCTCCGCGCCAGCAAGGCCGTGAAGACTTTCTACAGAGTCGTTGCCTGACACGTCAAGTTTGAGGAGGTTGGGAAAGCTGTCAAGACCATCTAGGTTTTGTAAATTGCAATTCTTTGCGACGAGAATTGTGAGACGAGGTGCGCCTGCGAGATCGGAAACACTCTGCAGATGTCGATTGTTGGAGACGTCGAGATCGGTGAGCATCGGACAGCTCACCAACTCTGCCACCGACCGTATTCCACAACGGGTGGCTTTCAGGTGTCGAAGGTGCTGCGATCCCTCCAGCGCGGAGAAGTCGCTCAGTTGCTTAAAACCTGTAACTTGTATCTCGCTGATCGTCATCTGAGCCGCAACACGTAGCGCGCGATTCACGTCAGCTACATCACGAGAGGTTTCACACCCTTCCCGGCACAAAATTGACAACTTCGTTATGTTTGGAAACGTCAAAAGTGAACTGAGAAAGGTCCCGCGCTGACCGTCGCTCTCTGGTGTGCGGTTTGGCGCATACACAGCTCCTGAAGAGGTGTAGACGTTCAGCTCCTCCACTCGGTCCCTCATACTATTCGGGAGAAGCTTCAGCATGTCGTTGTCTGCGTTGTCTACGGTAAGACTCAGCGGCAGTCCGCACCGCTCCGCCCACCACAGCGAGAGTTTAAGTCGAGGAAGTGTCTCACTTGTCCCCAACGCTTCGATTCCGTAGGCCAGATGGTTTTCTCTTCCCACCACTCTACCGCAAGTCTTTCCAGCTTCAGGGTAGTTCACCAGCGTCTCCGCGTTCAGTCTCATCTGCGGACTCATGGCACTCAGTGTGCAAATACAGCGCGTGATGAGCTCTGGAGGCATGAAACTCGTTATCTGAACAAAGTTGTACATTTGCAGACGCTCGAGCGCTGTGCGAGCGTCACCAGTTGAATCGCAGGCGAGCGACGCATTAAAGTCCTGAATGTAACCCTGAAGCGACATCTTCGTGAAGAGAGGCTTTGAATTTGTGTGAGGAAAACTGTGCGTGCAATCGCGTATGTTTGCTTATAGTTCTCAGAGGTGAACTCGTCTACTGGAAGAAATGTGTAATGCACGGGTCGTCGATCTGAGAGAATCAGAAGAGGTCAAAGTAGATGACGAGAAATGCCTTGTCTCCTCTACCCGTAGAGTAACAGAGAGCAAAAGGCACCGCGTCCCTGTGTGCAAACAACGTTCCCGCAGAGAAGAAAATGAAAGGCCTCACAGCAGCGCACCTGTGGCGACGCAATTCTGCACGTTTGCGTACACGTGTTGGCCGGTACCGTCGCCGCTTCCGTTGTCTCGCTTGTTAAGTCTTACCACTGCTACAGCGCAATAGCGCCTGCTGAGGAATTACCTCATTTGTCTTTCCGTCTGACTCCGCGGATACATCCACAATGTAGCAGCTGCTAAACTCTGTAGCCGATATTTAGCATGAATCATCAGAAGAAAAACGCACAATAAAGTCAGCAGAGGATTCTCGCGCACGAAGCACGCAAGGCAACGAGCGCTGTGGGCGGAGCCGAGCAACTAGACGGAAAAGAAGGAGGGCGAACAGAGTTCCGCTTCCGGTCTTCTCAAAAAAGACGGCGAGTATACCACGTCTGAAGAGATGATAGCAGGAGAAGTTGGAGCTTGCCGAAGTGGGTCGTCAGATGAGTGGTGAAAGCAGAGAACGCGGAATACCGCGAGAGATCGTGGGTCGGGCAACGCCGCTGATCTACCCTGGCACGTCGCACTCTGGAGCTCCATTTCTTCACAAAGGTGCAACTCCGCACTGGCACCCCAGCACGAAACGCGACATTCCGAAACACTAAGGAGGTTGTTTTCTGCTTGTGTTTGTGCACTGACAACAGCCAATCTGCTCTGCCATTGAATACTACACTGCGGTTGTGTGGTGGGGAGCGCGACCTCCCTATCTTCCGATCTCTGCACAGGAACTCAGCGCAGCAGGTGCCGATCACGTTACATCACCCTGAGCGATCCGGCATGGTCTTCACCAAATCTTGCGTATTGCACGTAACGCAGCCGTCGGCTCCGATAAGCCCGCACCTGCGGTTGGTACGGCAAGTCCGCTTACGATTTCTTCCTGCTCAAACCGTTCTCGAGGAGACGTGGTCGACAGACACCGTAGGGATGGGTCCGACAAAGTAATGCCGCCTTGTTTGCACGTGTGTCAGAACCGCAGGGGACAGCTCGAAGTGGTGCACTAGGGGGTAGTCAGAGAGTACCATAGAGGAGCTGAGCGGCCATGAGTAGGTCGCTTGTACTGTTGACCGTGTTTTGCTAGCAAGAGCTTATATCCTTTTTAAAAAGCTTGGTGTGTTCCCGCCGGCCGGGCTCCTCGACTTCACCCTCGAGCATCCGAACAAACACGAAAGAAAGCAGGAAGAAAGAGCTGTAATTGAATTGGAAAGCTTCATCGATTTCCCAACATGCGGCTGCGCAGAGAGCACGCGCACTGGCACAAACCGAAGTACTTTTGCTCACGGACTCGAAAGCGCTTTCGCGCCTCACGGCTGTTGTACGGAAAACCAATTTAATGAAGTTGTCCATAAAGTGCCACAGTACAGTAACAATACGCGGGGGTCCCACGATAGGGGCACCTTCTTCTCGGCGTTGCAACGGTGCGCATTGTGATGCAGCGCAAAAGAGAGCATTCTACAAGGGAGTCAGCACACTTCCTTCACTCCATTTGAAGCACAAGAGAGAGGGAAGAGCCGAGAGACCACGACACAGCCTTGCCAGCAATGCGGTTCGGGACGTTGAGCGGCGTCGCGTCCGTGAGGCCAAGGGCCTGCGTCAGGAAGGTGTACAAGTATGCCATGTCCATGCATAGCGTCTCCCCGCCCGCTTCCAGATGGGACTGCGAGTCGCGCCGGCACGCCTCTCTGCCTTTATCCTTGAACGTGGATACCGTCACGAGGCTGCCCTCATTCTGGAAGCGATGCAGACGATCGTAATAGTAGGAGAAGGCGTATATTGGCATGGAGCCGGTGGATAACAAAGGCTGTGGGACGCCACGGGCACCACACGCGTCGAACTTGCAAACAGGCCTCTTCACCACGTGTGTGCGGAGCATCTCCACACAGACGTCGAAGTCTGCCGTCCCGTCGTTGTGCAGGTCGACGCCGCCGTGCCGCAGCTTGTACCCGGTTGGAAAGCACGTAAAAGATGACGTGCCATTGACGGCAGCGAACGCGGTCATCATGGTTCGCTTGGCTTCATTGAGGCCAAGACCAAGGTAGCTATGCTGGTACAAAGCAATGGACCGCCTCGGTGTGCGCAGTCGATGGGCGTAATTAAATGGAAGCCACTCACCCGCTGACTTCTCCGTCTCAAAGACCACCTGCGTCGACGCGCCACCCATGTCGATGGTGACAGCTGTGTCACCGGAGTTCATGCTGCCGAGCAGGTAGTTCACCGTGAGCCAGCCGTATACGCCTTCTTGTGCTCCGGAGATGATCGAGGCGCCGCGAGAACGAAAGGGCGACTGCGCTATGGTTGTGTTCGCCACATCGAGCACGCTTTTCTGCTGGCTCTCCGGCAAGAGGCGCAGACCGGCAGTGGCCTTGAGCGTGACGGAAGTGCAGGCATAGTGACTCCGCGGCACCGCCTCCATCGCCAGCTCGAGGAGGCTTTGCAGGGAACTTTGAGCACCATCCGGATTTAGGGCATACGACGAAAGCCCCGGTTCGACACGGCGGAACCGCTCTGATAAGAGCACCACACCGTCCTTGGCGCGCTCAAATTGGAAGATGTGCACACGTGAGCCCGTGCTGCCCGCGTCGATGACAACGTCGTAGACATTTGCGTACGGTGAGTTACATGACACAACGGATGGGTACCGGCGGTACACCGCGAAGAAAAGAAGAAGCAGTCCGCAGAAGACAACGAGACCGACAAGTCGCAATCGTTTCGTCGGCTGGCTCATTCGCCGCAGTGGAGAAAAGGGCCGCATTAAGGCATGTCAAACACGCAGCCAACCTACGCGATGCGGCAGACCCTACGCACCCCAATTAATTAAAAAAAAGGGTGAAAATTATAGTCTATTACCCTTCTGTTCAGAAAGAAAGGAGAGAAGAAAGAAGAACGTAAGATCAATGAAGTGTAAACAAATGGCATTACATCCCGTGTATCGCTTTCATGTGTTGCCGCTACGGGCTGACGGCGTTTAATTTCCTTTTTAGCTCGAAATTATTAGAACTGTACGAAAAGGAGGTTCTTTCACACTCGGATCGTCGGCATGTCCGCCTCGTGGGGTTGGAAAAGTGGCGGGACGGCGGGAAACAATTAAAACAGCCTTCCCTGGAGAGAGGGGTCGACTGGAAGGGAGAGAAGAGAAAGGAAAGGAGGACGTGTGGCTTTCGATTCGTCCCCCGGTGAAATTTTCCTGGCGCAAGCTTTCAGTAAAATCGCTGGGGGAGAGGAAGAAAAGAAGGAGAGAAGCGATGGGGAAAACTATGCAACTGATTGGCTTTGCAGAGGCGCAGCGAAAAGGCGTCGGCCAGAATGAACGTTATGCTCGGTGCGCTGCGCACATCACAGGACACCGCAATTGTTTCCTTTCTGTTGCCTTTTGCAGCTTTACCGTTTTCGAAATCGATTAAGTAAAAGTGCCAACTACGTTGAGTTGACGAGGAGTGAGCCACGAACCGAACGGATGAGAAACAGCTGTTCGGAAACACAAAGAAAACAAAATAGGAAGGACACCAGTAGGAAATGCAGCAAACTGGTATTATTGGAAAAGACGCAAAGAGACGCATCCACCCGTTACCTTTAGTTTTGAACCTCAGCGAGACGCAGGTAGTAGTCTTTGATGTAAGCAATCGCCTCTTCGGCGGAGTCGGTGAAGAGCATGCCGTCGATCTCGGTTTGCGAGATGACACCAAAGTCAGCCAGCGCTTGCCAGTTAATCACTGTTTGCCAAAACTTCTTGCAAAGCAGCACCACCGGCAATGACGGGATCTTCTTGGTCTGCTTCAAGGTGAGCAGCTCAAACATCTCATCCATCGTACCGAAGCCACCGGGTGCGACGACAATGGCGCGGCACGAGTACATCATCCAGTACTTGCGGGTGAAGAAATAGTGGAACTCAAAGGCAAGTCCGTCGGTGACGTGTTTATTGAGGCCTTTTTCAAACGGCAGGGAGATGCCCATGCCCATCGTTTTCACCCCCGGCACCGACGCGGCACCGCGGTTCGCCGCCTCCATAAAGCCCGGGCCACCGCCGGTGGTCACGACAAGGTCGTCGAAATGCGCTTCCAGCTCCTGCATCGACTTTGTTGTCTCCTCTGGCGTCACCTTGAAGTAGTCCGGGATGTACCGGTAGCTGCGATTGATGAGGTGCTGCTCCTCCTTTGCGAACTGCGCCACCATCGTCGCCAGCCGTTCCACCACCTCCACCCACTCACACATCCACTGCGTCTTCTCCAATCGGGCCAGCTCCGCCCGCACGGTTTCTTTCTCCCCCTCATCGGTGCAGTCGGTCAGCTTCGTGCGAAGCCGCTTCAGGGTGGCATCGAATTGCACCTGCGTCATGGACCGCGCACTGCCAAAAAAGAGGAAGGTGGAGCGGATAAAGTTGCGGCGCAGTCGCTCTTGCGGCTCCTCGAACTCGCACAGGATGCGGATCATCCGACCGGCACTACCGTTGAGGAACTCCGTGTTCTTGTACGATTTCACGGCGGGCGTGTGCTTCTTGCCGGACAGGTCCTCGTCCGTCTGGGTGTACGGAGAGACGGCATCACGATCGGTAGGAGTCGGCATCCTTCCTTCGGTGTTGGTCAAATAGTAGCGGGCTGCACCACGTCTGCGACGTGAATTTCCGTATTCCTTTGTTGCAGGGGACTCAAACGTGACAGCTACAAGCACAGAAGTTGCTGCGCAGAAGAATAATAAAAACGATAATAGAATACGAAATCCCGATGCGAACGCGTTCAACGAGAAGCACCGCAGCTGAACAGAGAAACGACACGGATGCCGTCAGAAGAGGATGGGTACAAGACGGGAAGATGGAAAGATGCAGAGATGGGCGCCTGCGCTTCATTTGCGACTCGTGCCAGACAGTGGGCTGCATATCCGATTTCAGCGAGCACCGATCGATAAAGACATGCTACCAAATTCGTGTGGGCAAGAACAGAAGATGAAAGCGCGGCATTTGTTATTGCTTCCTTTTCCCTATTTCAAAAACACATGTCACAAACTGGAGGTTTTAGCTCCGCCGTGCATCCGGGCTGCGTAGTTGTCCGTATTTTCGGTGCATGTTACTAAGAAAGGAAACACAACACATCCGTCAGGGCTTTCTCCGCTCTCTCGCTTGTTCGATAAGAAAATACAATACTCGACTGTGATGAAGCTTCCTTCCACCGTGCTTTTCTCTCTTGTCGATAGTAGGTGGCTGACCTCGGCTTTGCCTTTAAGTTTTAAGAAGCTTGTTCAAATGCTAAACGCTATCCATACTTTCTACTGCACGCTCATCTCATTCGTTCTGAAACAATAAAAAAAAAAAAGAGAGAGAAGTAATCCATCAATCGCACCGCCGCTACACCGCCGCAGCTCGGCATGTCCACCTGCTCAACTTCACGCTGCCACCGCACCGCAGCGTCCTCGCCTAACAGGGACGAAACGAAGAGGAAACGGAGAAAGGAAAAGGAAGACACATCAACGCGCCAACAGACTTCTTCTCTGCTTTACAGTGGAGAGCCACACGTGGCAGCGAACTCATTAGTACTTGAAGACCTGATCTTCCTTGTAGCCTAAAGCCTTCAACAGACCTCCCACGGCACCTTGCTGAGGCGGCTTGCCGGCTTCAAACAGCTTATCGCCGCTGATGGCCTGCAGCATCGGCGGCGGGCCGCAAACGAGGATCTTCGTGTTCTTCTCGCCGGGCTTCGGCATAAAAGTTGAGATCATCGCCTCGTTGACGTAGCCAACGCCGCCTAACCAGCGGTGCGGAACCTCCAGCAGCGTCAGGTACACGTTGATGTTGTTGTATATCTTCTGCAGCTCCATCAGCTCATTGGTCAGCAAAATGTCACGGCGCTGGTTGTTGGCAAAGATGAGGGAGATGTTTGTCTTGTCCTTTGGATTCTCTAAGATGCCACGGATCACCTGGTACATGGGGGTGATGCCGGTGCCGCCCGCTATCATACCCACGTGCTTCCACATGTTCGGCTTGTACGCGAACTTCTCAAAAGGTCCTTTGAACAGCAGCTCCTCGCCAGGCTGCATCGCAAACAAGTGGTTGCCCATCTTGCCCTTCGGGTACTTCTTCACGAGCAGCTCAAAATGGCCTTTGGTGCTGTTCGAGGAGATGGGGGTGTAGGGACGAGCAACATCCTTGCCGTCCGCGTCAGTGAACTTCGCTACAACGCACGACGCCACCGGCATGTTGAAGTTCTCGTCTGCGCTGCCAAGGGCAAAGTAAAAGCGGCGTGTGTCGTGAGACTCGTAGCGGGAGGAGAGTAGTTTGAAGGGTTTGAACTCGTCGGGCGAGAAGGTGCTCACAGGCTTCTTGGCGCACTGCACGGCGAGCTGATCGGAATGCTGGGAAGTGCTCCACATGGCACCCCCTGCGCCACCTAGCAAGGTGGCCAACGTGCCGGCTAAGAAGCGGCTCATGATGGCGACGACGTACCACTGTAGCTGTAGCGCTAAACTGTGATTTGTGTGAAGGAGTGCAGAAGAGCGCAGTAGAAAAAGAGAAGAAGAGAAGGACAAGAATGGAAAGGCAACGGCTTTGTTGGACGCTTTCGTTGGTGATAGCGAGAGCCCCACGGGCACACGCGCACCGATGACAGCGGGAAAAGGCTGCGAGGTGGAAGAACGTGCGGAGATGCAATTTCTCCTCTCTTCCTGCGTCCGGTGACTCAACTGTCGTTACAGTTAGAATAATCGTTCACCCCTGCTCCTATCCAAGAGCGGCTCACTGCCGGGTAGACGAGCCGAGACTGCCGCTTTTGCACACAAATGTGTAGAGAGCCAGCTTTTTCTTTTCTTTTGCAGTAAACTTTCAGAGCCGGAATGTTCGTTGTTTGTGTTGTGTGCTTTCCTTTTATGTTGCATCACCGTGAACGAAGAACGACGGGGTCTGTTTATGTGTGAAATTTCGAGGCAATCGGAGAAAAGAAAATCGGCCGTGCGCATTTGGTGCTTCCGCGTACACTTAAGATAACGGTAGTTGAAAGCACATATATATATATATATAGTTATGTATATGAATCTGCAGCACTCATTTGAAGCCCATTGCTCTGCTTAGCGGATTATTGAGAAATGAAAAGAAAAATTACGGTTCTGTTTACTCTTTGTTTGAGCTCTGTAGCAAGATCGAGGCGCAGCAGAACGCGGACACGACGTCAAAAAACGGGAGAGAATTATGAAAATGTGAAATCAGCGTGCGTCGTGAGCTCGAAATGGAAGAACGTGTGCAGCCTTGATCTTCCCGGTGCGCAAACGCCAGCGACCGGAAATGCGGACGACGCGTTCTCCACGGTGTGTGGAGTGAATGAAGGATGCCAAAAAAGAAAGAAAAGCTCCATTTACAATACAGACGCGCTCGCCTCTTTCAGCTGAGTTTCTTTATATATAGGCAACATAAAACAAAACAATCAGAAAGCACATATATAGTAAACAGCGTAGCAAGCACGGTACCTTTCACTTCTGCCTGAAAAAGAGAAGAAGGAGATGCTTCAAGAGAAAGGAAAGGAGAAACCAGCGCCTTCACTCGTGGAAGCACTCCTTCACAGAAGAAAAATATCGTTGAATGCTTCAGCTTGTAAGGGTAGTACTGGCGGTGACACAAACACACACACACACGTGAATATATATGGGTACCCCTTGCAAAGGTGCTGTACCAGCAACATCGGTAGACTAGTGCACTCACATGCTGTGTTGTGGAAAGAAGCGTTTCTTGGCTACGGAGTTTGTTGTACATAACGGTATAGAAAGCTTCGATGCACGAATGGCGGTCACAGAGCACGTCGCGACTCGTGAGGGTAAAAGACAAAGAGAAGTAATAGAAATCTTCGTCGCAGGCACGAAGCGTTTCCGCGTCAGCGCAGGTGCCAAAGTGAAGACGTTGAAATTGTCTTCGAATAAAGAATCAAGAAGAGCAAAGTAACAAAAAGCCGCCTTTCCTTTCTTGTAGAAACAAAAATATCGAAAACAAAAACAATCATGATTGCTCTTATAAGCCGTAAGATAAGGGAGAGCGCCATTTTACTTGTGGGAATCAAACACATTTCTTTGGGACGCTTTCGCGCGCTTGCAGAGGCAGAGGAGAAGGAATAGCACATCTCCTTCTCTCGCCACCTTCTCAGCAGCCGAACAACATTAAATTCAAAACAAAAAAAAACCGCCACTCGCAAAAGAAAGGAAGGAAAAGAAGGAAAGGAAAAGATATCACAACAAATGGGTGAAAGAGCGTCTCGGAGTAGAAACAATGCGTACAGTAACAAAGCAAAAGAATGAGTGCAGCCCACTTTCACACGAATTGCATTGCCGCCACTCGAGTTCCCTTTCGCGCATAGACAGAATAAACAGCAATAGGTATTATTTGCATACTTCTACGGTGAAGCCACGGGAAGAGGAAAAAGGAGGAGCTAAGCAAACATACGTTTCGATTTATGCTCTTTGTATGCAAGAAGTGAAAACAAGAAAATGTGACAAAAGGCGGAAGGTATAAAATAAAATGTTCTTTTTCTTTCTTTCGCATTGCTAGTAAAAGCCGTGACTAGCGCTGCGTGACTCATCGGTGTTTCCCCTTCCGTTTTTCAACAGCATGAAGAGCCTTCGTTCTCGACTTCTCTCGACTTCTCCCCGCACCATTATTGAATTAGTTTACTTTCACTTTGTATTTTGTTGTCTTTGATTATATATTTTTTTTGCTTCGGCGTTGGTTACACGCACCGAAGGGTTTGTCGTTAGAGGTTTAAATGGTTCCATCTCCTCCACTGCAGTTGTTGCGGCCTCTCGCTCTACGATAAGTATGTGAGCACCGACGCCCACGGCAGCTCGGCGTCGACGAGGGCGTTGTGGTACACGGCGTAAACGTCGGAGCCGTTCTCCGGCCCATGCAAGCTGTGCAGCAGGTCCATCACCACTGACTTGTCGAGGATGTTCTGCGTGCACCAGCGGGCGTACATGAGGCGTAGCTGCTTGACGCGGACGCTCTTGCGCGGGTTGGAGCCGGAGATGGACAGCGTGTGGTGCATGATGACCTCCATGGCGGCGATGGCCTGGAAGAGATCACCCGGGCGGCGCTTCAGAATCTCGCCCACCACCTCGTCCACCTCAGCGGATGAAAGCAGGTTGCTGCCGTTCAGTGACACCGTCGAGCACGCGAGGAGGGCACCGACGACCTTCGCCAACTGCACGAGCTGCGCCACGGTGGAGCCGTTGCCGACCTCCGCGACGGCGAGGTTGACCACCGCGTCCTTCCACGCCCGCGTCCGCTCACCGGCGGCGGTGCGTGCGCGGCGCAGCACGACGAACTCAGCGTCATCGGCGATCTTCTGGAACGACATGCATTGCGATAGCGGATCGTAGTGACCGACGCTGGTGATTGGCTCGACCAGTGGGCTGTTACGCAGGTTTGGCGTCGTCGGCGTGCGGCAGCGGGTCGGTGTGCATGGGATGCCGTTCTCCGAGACGTTGCTCACACTCAAGAAGTACGGGAGAAGGCGGAAGCGGCACTGCAGGGCCACTCGCAGCATCGCGGCGTCCGTCGCCGGGTTTGTAACGGCGTTGAGGAGTGCCGCACCGATGGAGGTGGCACTCTTGGCCAGCGTGACCATCTGATCGGTGCCGTTGGAGGTCGTCAGGTCGTGCAACATCACGTTGAAGAGACCGAGGTGCAGCAGATTCTGCACTCCAGCAATACTCGGCAGGCGCGCCACATCCGCGGCGTAGCAGTATTGGATCATGTGGCCAATGTTCTCAAACATGCGGGGGCACTGGTGGAACTCGGCCTTTTCAATGTCGAAGCGGATCCACTCGATAATCGCGGCCATCAAGTCGTTCGGCCGGAAGGAAGGGCTGGAGGTGAGGAGAGAGGAGAGCAACTTCGTGACACGCTGCCGCTCCCTAAAGCGCGAGGTGTCCGTGGCGGCCTGTCGCAGCCACCACGTGAGGCAGAGCACCTTGTTCTTCAGGCTCATCTCACCAATGCCGTGCAGCACCGTCTGCTCCTCCTTTGGGTCGTTGAAGTTCTGCATCAGCTGCAAACTCACGTCTTGTATGTTCACCACCTCCGTCGCCCCAACGTTCGACGGGCGGTTGCGGGATGGGAGAGGCGTGGCGCCGTCAATGAAAGAGCGGGCCGCGTTCGTCTCCGCGGCCGGACGATTGAAGGCGGCTGTCTGCGGCGCCCGCCGCTCCGGCACCGCCGCCGTCGGCATCGCGGCGATCGCGCTCGGCTTCAGGTAGGATATGTTCTGCGAAGCGGATTTCGGCGCCGCGTACGGGCGGGACAGCGTGGAGCTGTTGTCTGGGCTAGGAGGGGAGATGTGGATGCTCGCACCGAAGTTGGAGGCCGGGCGGGGCAGCGCGAACTCGGTGCGCTGCGTCATGTTCTCCTCACTCTGGCTCATGATGGAGGATTGCAGGAAGGACGTGCTCGCCACGCTGTCCACATGCTTCATTGCGGTGGAGCGCTGCACGTCGTCGCAGGAGTCCGCCTCCCGCATCACCCGCTCGCTCGAGACCCAGCCCTGCTTCTTGTTGAGATCGTCGAGGCCCATCATGAGAAAGCGGATGCGCAGGTGGGGGTGCGACATCTCCACGACCCTGGCGACGCCCAGGTAGCGGACCAGGGAGCACGGGCGGCGCTCCTTCAGAATGCTGGCCACTGTCTTCACGAGGGTCGCAAACACCTCAAATACGTAGTCCTCCCGTTCGACCGGGTTGCTCGGGCTGAAGCTGCCGACAAGCAGGTTGAAGATGCTCTCGATGACGGCCTCCGTCACGAGGTCAATCCTGAAGAGCTCCCCCACAAACTTGACGTTGCCGACCAGGCGGTTCTTCAGGCGGGTGCGCTTCATGTCCACCTCCTCGTCGCTGTACGGCTTGCCGGTCGTGCGATCCACCTTCTCGTCGGCGGTCAGCTCAATCGGGCGGCGGAACTCCTCGTCGCAGGTGTGCAGGAGCTCGCGGCTGATGCGGTTGCAGAAGAGCCGGTCGCGCAGCTCCGCCTCCAGCTCCCGCTCGGTGTCTTTCATCTCGCACAACTCGCTGAAGAGGCGGGCGTACAGGCCGCTGTACTCCGGCTCCTGCACCGCCTTGTCGAAGAACACCTTCACCACCTCGTGCAGCTCGCCCTCGTCGGTCTGCCGCAGCGGCAGTTGCAGCAGCTCCTCCAGCAAGTCGCCGTACTTCTGCGGCGTGACGCGGCTGAGGACTGACATGACCTTGTGGTGGACCATACGCACCGGCTTCGCGCGCGTCTTGCCCTTCAGGCTGGAGCCGAGCGCACCGCGGTTGACGCCGTCCTCCGAGTTGAGGATTTCGCTCATCGACAGCTGCAAGTGCTTTGGCACCTTCAGCGTGGGCACCTCCAGGTACTGCTGCACGCACCACCGCAGCACGCCGTGCGGGGTGTGCGACGCGTCCTTGCGCACCGACATGAACATGTCCACTGGGTACACCTTCGCCTCGGCGGCCTCGTCGGTGAAGGAGTGAAAACACGTGTGGACGGGGTTGGAGAGAGGAGAGAAGGGGCTGCCCACCGAGCTCTGCGGCGACATCACCGCCAGCGGCGAGAGCTTCGGCGCGGCCTGCGACTTCGTGTCGGGGGAGTTGCCCAACGCGGTGGGTGGGGAGAGAATCGGGCGTGGAGGGGTCAGCGGCTTCTTATCCGCCGTGGAGCTCGTCGGGTACCACGGTCGCGCCGTCGCCGTGAGCGTCTTCTTGTGCGGAGGGAGCGACTTAACGAGCTTCGGGGGGCGGAACACGGACTCGGTGCGCCGCTCTCTCTCAATGAGAGAACGGGTGTTTTGCGTCTCCATCAGCATCGTGACTCGACGGAGCAAGTGAAAGCGGCGGCAGACAGCAAACAAAGAAAAGAAGGAAAGAAGAAGAGCTGAAAAACTGTGCGGGTGATTGCAGCGAATGTGTGGGTGCAAGCGGAAGCGTCGAAAGCGTGCGAATAAACGGAAAGAGGATTGGGTTACGTGAACAAGAGCGGCGTGCAGGGAGAAGGACGCAAGGGAGCGGAGAACAAGCCAAGCATGCGAATGAGGTCTGCTCGCTCGTGGGTGGGGTGCGCGTGGGGAGTTCCGTGCGGCCTCAGCAACTACGGCACCAGGGCATTTGTGGAAAAAACAAAAGCTGTATTTTTGAGATATCGCCGTTACTTCACCGTCAATGGATGCAAACAGAGAGGGGAGAGGAAATCGCATTTACATGTCCTCATTCAACGGACGGAACACCGAATAACCAAGTGGGCTGAAAAGCGGCGCACGCGGTGCACCACGCAGGAGTGAGCCTGTGGTTCTATTCATCGTTGGGGGACTCCTCTGTGCCGTCACGCAGTGGTGAAGGTGCTCGGCGTAAAGCAGGTGGAGTCGCGTCGTACATCTTTAGCAGCTCCATCGCTCGGCCACTGGCTTCTTGCAGCTGACCACGCAGCCGCGCATACGGATCTGCAACGGGAGGGAGGGTGGTTTCTGCTAGACCCACCTCTCGGGCCTTCACCTCCTCTGCGCGTGCCGCGGCCAGCAGCCGTTGCACCTCCGCTTCATCCACGGAGAGCGGCGGTGACCGGGCCCAGGCGGGGCGCAGAGCGAGAACGTCAGCCGGCGTGTCATCGGCCGGGGCCAGGGCCAGGGCCTCATTGAGACGCTGTAGGGCACGAAGCCGCTCGTTGACGCTGCGCAGCTGCTGTGTCGTCTGTTCAGCTTGATGGGTGTCTCGCATGTAGGCGTTGCCCAACTCGGTGGCCGTGGGAGCTGAAGTGGAGTCTCCGGCGGCAGCACCGTCACGAGGAGCAACGTCGCCATCGTGCGAAGCACTCGGTGTTCTTCCAAGTGCGGAGAAAACTTGTTGTCCGTCGCGGATCGCCGCGTAGCGTCGGGCTTTCTCGTCCAGCTCGCCCAACTTCTCCACCAACTCATGCCGACACGCAAACGGATTTGACGCCGTGAGCGCCGCAAAAACGTCGCCGTCCAGCAGCTGCGCCACCCGCCCTTCCTCTGCCTCTGTGAGACCCGCCCGCGGTCGGACAGGAATGGTTGGGGGCTGCGCCGCAGCCGTTGCGCGACTGGAGGACGACGCTGCAGGTGCTGGAGGCGACGGTTTGTGTTGTGGACGTGTCCGCACCCGCGCACTCTTCTCGGTGGCGGGCCGCCTCTGCTGCGATGGCGCTGCAGTGAACGGCGACTTGCGCGGAAGGGGCGGTGGAGCACTTGTGGTGGCCGATCGTGGTTTTTCCTGTGGTGGAGGGGAGCGTCCCACCGTGGCGGCTTCTGGAGATGATGGAGGTGCGGGCTGCTCAGGCCCTGCGGCTTCTGTTTCATCTTCCTCCTCGTTCTCCTCTGAAGCCGCGTCGGGCTCCTCGTCTGCGATCAGCACCTCTCTGCCGCCGGAAGCGCCGATGCGTATTTCGTAGCTCCGACCCTCGTTGTCGACGGCCGTAATGAAGGTGTCGATTTCCCTCTGCAGCGCCTCCATGTGAGCCTCCATCTCTGACTTCGGCGCGCTTGGCGGCGGCGGCGGCGGCGGGGAAGAACGCACCGGCGCGTTTGGCGACGCGTCGCCGGCTAAGTAGCGAAGCACGTCGGGGTCCGTAATGTGCTGAATGTCCTCCCTGCTAAAGTTGGTCGTCAGCCCCCCATGAGAGAGCGCCACCGGCTTTTTCAGCTGCGCCTCCGCCTTCGCCAGGGCGGACAGCGGCATGCGCGGCACCGTGTTGAAGGTGGTGGTCGTCGCAGCTGCCGCGTCGAAGGCGTTAGAAATGTTGGAGGAGAGCGAGGAGGACGAGGAGAGCTCGCCGTAGTCTTGCTCGTGCAGCAGGCGCGAAGTCAGCACATCCAGTCGCACCTTGGGCACCCGATCGACACCGCCAGCAGGAGCGGCGGCAGCGGCACCCTCCGCTGCTTCGTTGGCATCATCGTGTTGCTTCATCATCTACCGAGAGAGAGAGAGAGAGAGCTCCAGAGCAGCAGTAGAGCACATGAAACCTCAGGAGCACGAACGAATGTGAAGGGGGACAAAAGAAAGGAACGAGAGTAAAAAGGGGAGCAAAGGACCAGCATTGTTCTCGCGGTGTAGACGCTCGAAACGCGACTCTACGAAAGCCCCTTGACGCTGCAAGGGAACGCAACACGGTGTGTGTGTAAGGCCACCGTGCGCCAACTCGTAGACAGAAGCGGCTATGGAAGGCACCCCTCATAGTTGGCCCCGGACTGCTCAACGACGGCCGCAGTGGAAGTGCGAGAAGAGGCAGGTTAGATCGTCAATAAACACGCAAGAGTGCCATCTTCCTCTCTGCACCTCGAGTGTGCTGAGCTTTTCATCCTTAGATGGTTCGCAACTGAAATTCGATGGGAGATGCTTCGGCCACCTCCCCCAACGCAGCTCACGCGTTATAGCCTCAGCAGCGCACAACTTAAACCGACCCAACACCACCAATACGACTGTCATACAAACTCAAAAACAAGTTTTCTTCAGTTGAGCCACTCCCATCTTCTCAGCGACTGCGTTTAGACCAAACGCACAGGTCGCACTGCAGCGCCAGCGAGGGGAAAGACGAGCAGCAAAGAAGGGGAGCGCAGACATCAACCACAACAAGCCGTCGTCGCCAACAACAGCTGTGACGACGAAGAAAGGGCCCGTAAACGGAGAGTATACCCAGCCTAACAACTGTGAACAGTAAAGGAAAAAGGGAAGAAATGACAAGGATATGTGTCTGTGTGCGCTGAACGACTACGCAGCTCACTTCTTACCTTTGCCGCTCGCCGTCCCTCGTGTCGCGGGCTTCTTCTCCTCCATATGCACGACTGGGGAGGCGCCCGTGTACCAATCTGCGCTGCCCGTGTGGTCGGCGGCTGCCTCCTGCAACTGCCTCACGCTGTCGTGCCGCGTGTCGTGGATCTGTACCGTGTAGGTGGTTGCAGGCTCGTCGCTGTCTACGTCCGACTCCGCTGACAGCAGATCCGCTAGCGAGTCCGCCGACATCACCTCGCCTGCGCTGTCCGCCGCAGCAGAGTCCTCGCTGCCATCCGTGGCCGTTGAACGCTCCACCGTCGCCTCAAACGCCTCGCCGTCGTATACCGTGTCGCGGTGCTCCTTCGCCAGCAGCGCTACCTGGTGAGGCGTGAGCTGCTCCTGCTGCAGCTGCGTGAGGACCCCCATGATAACGGTGGCCTCTCGCATGGAGATAAACTTGCCGGACAGCTTCGCCTCCTCCGCTTGGATGGCTGCCACACGCTTCTTCACCGTCAACTCGTCGTAGAAAGACTCCAACACCTTCTTGATGGCAACCGAGTGGGAGACGCCTTTGCGCTTCAGTTCGTAGTACTGACGCTCCATGCGATCGAGCGGCTTGCGGACCCAGAATATGTTGTAGTAGCGCATGCCCTCCGAGGCAACAAGGCGGCTCTTGCGGGCAAGCTCATCACGCAGTGCCATGCGCTCCGCCGACAGGTGATCTGTGTCGTCCTGAGTGGGTTCACTCTGGTTGTGGGGGTTGAGGGTCTTCTCCTGCTGGAAGTTGTGGTTGATGGGCGGAAACATTCGGAAGTGGTTGTACCACTCCGGTGGGATGTAGAAGCCAGTGCCCACGAGCCGCCCCATACGCTTCATGTGCTCCCATGGCTCGTACTTCTCATTCCAGGTGTCAAAGCGCGGCGCCACGCCCATGTTCTTCGGGATTTTATACAACTGCGCCGAAGAACGGCGCATTTTGAGACTCGTTTGGTGGGGGCAGGGAAGCGCTCGATATGGCGAAGACGCGATGACCGCACGAGTGCGCAGGAAAGAAGAGGCTGCAGGAGAAGAGAGCCCGAAATACCACCCTTCAACCGCCACGTATCTCTCCTTGCAACACGGCCGACAGGTTTGATCGCAGCGCGCACACGCAGATCGTTTTGCGCAAGCTTCAGAGCGGCTTGCGGACTCAGCAGTTTTGCGGGAAAGGAAACGGCATGGAAAAAACAAAGTCGATGAAGTGGACGGGGAGGAAAGGAAATGCGAGAGGGAGGAAAACGGGCGTTGTGATACATCGTCGCTCCGCAGAAGAACGAGCGGATGGGTGCTTGCTCATCCACTACGAAGAGTACCATTTGCCGTGTCTCGGCTACAGAAAGAAGCCGCAGAAGTTTAGCGAGAGCTCCTTAGATATATATTGCAGCAAGCAATAGTCGTTGTGGTCACAGCCCTAAAGCCGAACCCAGCAAAGTCACCGCCCTGCACGCTGCGAACGCATCTCCCCGTTTATCTTCTCAAACGCGTGAAACACCAAAGCTGCACCGCTTCTCAGCAGTGCAGAGCACAGTTATCGACGTCCACTCGTGCACGCTTGGTCACTGCAACAGCTTTTCTTCCTCGTTAAACGCACCACAAACAACTTGTCAAGGAGAGACATGGCAGACATTTTTGCACATCATCGGCATCATAAAAGAACCTGTGAGAAAAAACAAAAAAGCTGCGTCGCCAACACGCGCACCGCCTCCTCCTGAAACCACAACACACAAGAGCACACGTACACAATGGAAAGAAAAGGCTGAATAGCATGAGCATAATATATATCCGGTTTGTGTTCCACTGGCTCCAAATAAAAAGTCCGCACGCATCGCACGTAGGGGGCCGCGTTTGCAGACACGCACCTTGGTGAGCGGCGTACTTCGGCGCACACCTTACGTACGCAGCGGCCAACACCAGACGCGGCGGTAAACCGGAACAAAGAAATGAAAACGATGGCAGCACCTCTATGCAACACAACCTAACGCCGCAATCGTAGAAAAAAAAAAAGCAAACCAGAAAATAGAGTAGTTTCTTTGGTAAGTCCCTACAGGATGAACTTCTTGATGTCAACCTTCTTCACCATCTTGTCCACGGCCTGCTTGACGTACGCGGCGTCAATCATGAACTTCTCCCCCTTGCGCTCAGGACCCTCAAAGCTGATCTCCTCCACCACCTTCTCCGTGATGGTGATGAGTCTACGGGCACCGATGTTCTGCACGGTGGCGTTGATGTGCGCAGCGATGGCGGCAATCTCCCACAGAGCGTCGCCAGTGAATTCGAGCTCGACGCCCTCCGTCGCCATCATCGTCTTGTGCTGCGAGATGAGGTTGAAACGCGGTTCGGTGATGATGCGATGGAAGTCCTCCTTCGTCAGCGGCTGCAGCTCCACCCGAATCGGTAGACGTCCTTGCAGCTCCGCCAGCATGTCCGACGGCTTCACGCTGTGGAAGGCGCCGCTGCAGATGAACAATATTTTGTCCGTCTTCACCTGCACGTTGAACTTGGTGGACACGGTCGTGCCTTCGACCAGCGGCAGCAAGTCCTGCTGGACGCCCTCGGCTGAGGCCTGGTGGCCCTTGTAGCCGCCCGCCGCCGTCACAATCTTGTCGATCTCGTCGATCACAACGATGCCGTCCTCCTCGCAGGCGCGCAGCGCCTCCGCCGTGACGTCCTCGGTGTCCATCATCTTATCGAGCTCCTCCTGCAGCACGGCAGGAAAGGCGTCTTTGATCTTCATGACCTTCTTCACCGTCTGCTGCCGCTGACCACCGATCATGGCCGGCAGGTCGAGCGAGATGAAGACACCCTCGCCTGTCGCGGACTTCGGCTTCTCCTTCTTCTCCTGCAGCTCCACCATCACCTCAATGTCGTCTAACGCACCGCTGCGCAGGTGCTCGCGAAAGCCGTCTGACACGCCCGCTAACGACTTGAGGATGCGGTCCTCCGCCTTCACCTTGGCCTCCTCCTCGTGCTGGCGGCGGATGTTCTGCTTCGTCTGCGATAGCGAGGCTTTGTAGAGGTCCTCGATGATGCTTTCTACGTCGCGGCCGTGGAAGCCGACCTCCGTGAACTTCGTGGCCTCAACCTTCACAAAAGGGGCGTCCACCAGTTTGGCCAGCCGCCGCGCAATCTCCGTCTTTCCCACGCCCGTCGGGCCGATCATTAAAATGTTCTTGGGCGCGATCTCCTCGCGGATGTCGCTGGGCACCTGGTGGCGGCGCCAGCGGTTGCGCAGGGCGACAGCGACGGCCTTCTTCGCCTCGCTTTGACCCACAATGTAGCGGTCCAGCTCCTTCATGAGCTCTCGGGGCCGCATATTGCGGATGAGGGTCTTGGCGCCGAGGTCGGCAGCCGGGGCGGCCGGGGCGGGGGCGGGAGCAGCAGCAGCAGCAGCACTGCAGAGGCGCACCGCAGCGCCGAGGGGCTGGCCGGAGACCCGCGTGGGGAGGAGAAAAACACGACGCATCGACCACGTGCGGAGGGTTGGGGCGTAGGGGCGGATGGAGACGGAATACACGGGTGCCGAGAGCTCGTAAAGCGGAAAGGCCGGCAAACGAGAGTCGATCAACGCGTCTCGAAGTGAAAAACGGTCGGCACAGCGGCGGATTTATTTAGAGTTATATATAAACAGGTGTGCGTGTGCGTGTACGCGTGCAGATAGAGAAGGCGGGCTGTGGAGTAAGGGGAAAAGCTTCTCGAATTGTATCGATCGAGAGAGCGCGGTAGTTGTCCGCAATCACGTGAAGCCGCGGCAAATGAAAAGAGCGAAGAAGAAATTCGTGTGCTCCCGAAAAGAAAAAAGGGTTCTGCTCTCGGCAATCGGAGATAAAAACGAAGGAAGCCAGTAATAGTAATAGTAGTAGATCAGCCTGCGAGGTCGGACAATGCAAATGACAGAGAGACACACGTCAAGCAACACCCTACAACTGTTGGAAACGAAAACGAAGACGGAGAGAGGAGGGAGCGAGGCGGGGGGGGGGGATAAAATTGAAGCGGTGAGTTCCAGTGGTGGCCAATAAACGAAAATGACGGGCAGGCTGTCTCGGAGAAGCACAGAAGGCAGCACATCACCGATCAGCAAAAGCGGCGCAGCGCCGGATTCAACGCGCTCGGCCAACACCGCAACGGCACTTTGAACACTACCGGCTGCGTTCGACTGTCTTTTCAGAAGATTCTGTTTGCTTAATCGCCCGGCCTGACGGACCCTCGAATTTGTGACGACGACAAAGAAAAAAAACTACGCTCACGCACCGACACACACACACACAAGAAGCCGTCACTTCTTGAGGGGAGGAAAAAGAGCTCCGGCACGCACGCCGCCAAAAGAAGCCGCAAGAGTCGGAGGTGACAATACACGCAGCGATGCATTTCAGAAGTTGTCTCTCCCTCCCTCCCTCGCACCATCCATCGAGGTGTTGCCAGCGCATCACACCTGGCACCGGCACACGCGCCGTCACACCTTGTTGCTGAAGAGCAGGTGCTGCTGCTTGCGCTTGAGCGGTGCCATGGAACGGAATTTGTGGTAGATGCAGACCAGCGTGGAGGACAGCAGCCACCGCTGACGCTGCATTATTTTTGCGGTGTACGTGTCTCGCGAGCTGACGCCCAACTCTTGTTGGAGAACGTTGAAGTAAACGGCGGAGTGCAGACCGAGACCGTCCGGATTGCACAGGTCCTTCAAGAGTGGGTTTTCCGTCGTCAGCTCCGCTTCCTTCGCCTGCATGGCCGCTGCGCTGTCCGGCAGCAATAAACGCTGGGTGAAGGCGTAGGCAACAAACCGCGATTGTGCTTCAAACAGCAGGAAGGGTGGCAGCAGCTCCTTCTGATGCCCTACGATCGCCAGTGACGGCTCGGAGGTCCACAGCGCGCCGAGATACAAACCGTGGCGGCCAGCGGCGCCTCTGCTGCTCGTCTCCGCCGCCGTATCGGCGGGATCGGAGGACGTCAGCAGCGGCTGGCCTTCCGCCTCCAGCACGCGGCGGATGTCCGGGTGCAGAAACGGATAGCGCCGCGTGTAGCCCGTTGCGCAGATGACGGCGTCCACCTGATCCATAAAAGTACCGGAAGGGGCAGCAGAAGAAGGGGACGGAAAAGACCGGCCACTGCGGAGCTGGGCGCGTGCCTTCGCCTCCGCCACCACTTCCTCCGTACTCTGTCTTCGCGACGGGTCGTCGTGGAAGCGAATGCCCCGCCCCTCACTCCCCATCGGGAGGCCAACGGTCGGGATGGACTCCAAACGCGTGTTGCGGTACCGCAGCCACTTGCGCACCGCATCGTTCGCTGCGTGCACGTCGTTGCGCAACCACGGCAGGCGAGCCATGAAAGTTGCGAGGCGCGTCGCTGCGTCTGTCGCCACGCGCACATCGGACACCTCTTTTGCCCTCCTCGCATCCGTTTGAGGGGCGGCATCCTTCCACAGCGACGATGTCAAGGACGGACCGCCGCGATCGGAGCCACCGCCCTCCGCCTCCACAGCAGTGGCTGCGGCATCGCCCCGCATCATCGTGCTGTGCGTCACCGTTGCTCCCATGCGCTTCAGCTCCATGCAGTAGTCGTAGGCGGAGACGCCATCGCCGACGACGACGACGCGTTTGCCGCGGAAGGAGCGGAAGTCCTTCACGTGTGCGGCGTGGTGCACCTCCCCGCCCTCCCGCACGTAGCTCTCCAGAGTCTCCCGCAGGCCGGCGGGGAAGCGCACCTCCTGCGTCTGCCCGGTGCACACGCAGACCTTGTCAAAGGCCCACTCCATCACATCGCCATTCAGCACGTTGACCGAAATAATTTTCCACAGCCGGTCGACCGGATCGAAGCGCGCCGATTCGACCTTCGTGTTGAAGCGGGTAAGCCCGCGCACGCCCTTCTGAGAGGCGCACTGCAGCATGTAGTGCTGCACCGCCGTGTGATGGGGGAACTGCGGCACGGTGAAGTCGAAGTGCACGTCGCTGAAGCACATCAGCTCCTTCGGCAGGACGCAGCGCATCGACGGATAAATGGGGGAGACGGCGCCGCGGCTGGAGAAGACGTCGCGTGCGTTGCTGCTCCAAATACCGCCCGGTGCAGGGGCGATGTCGAAGCAGGTGACTAAGAGACCACTCTGGCGCAGCGCCGTACACGCCGCCATGCCCGCCGGGCCGCACCCAACCACCGCACACGATAGCATCGCCTGATCGCTCAGACACCAAGGCAATTTCTCCCACACTTAGCAGCACAGCAAGCCAAGAAGAATGCGTTGGGGGCTTTCTCTTCTCCTGCTGTATGCGTCAACTACCACTACGGCGTGAGACGCAAGCGTAGCGTAGACAGGAAATACAGCCGTGTAGCTGCTCGAGTTGCGTCGTGTAAAACGAAAAGTTCTTTTTCCGCTTCATCATTGCCCGGGTGTGTTGGGCCACGGGGACAGCGTGGAGGAGGAGGGGAGGGAGAGGAGGGGGTATGAAGACGACGAGGGCGAGATGCGTGAACAGCAGCCAAGGCAGCGAAGAGGTTGCATTGGTCGCACACCGGCACTCTCAGCCGACAACCTGACGGCAAAGTGAAAACGAGAGACGGAACAGCCGCACACGATATTTGCGTTGTGCAAGCCAGCTGCACGTGTTGTCCGTTGGCCACATCCCGCTCCGTCGGACTTATTCACACAAGCCCCCATGGTGGAGCACCGAAAGGGCCCACCTGCCGTTGCGCCGATGGAGTGTCAGACGCACTCCCTTTGCTTGTTTTCTTCTGTCTTTCGTCTAAACTTGAGTGCAAATCATCTAACGTACATCGAAGGCCCCGCAGCGAGCGGGGCTTGAAAAAAAAAAAAAGCAAAGGCACCAAAAGAGCTGCCGATCCTCTTGCGAGGCTGGGTGGCAACGCACGCGTGTGCGCAGCAGCCCCTGCGGCCCCACGCCCTCCGTGCCCTTTGGCCCATCAGCGCGTCGCGGCGGCAGTGGCCACCCCTTCAAAGTACGATCCAACGGGGTTCGCCTGGTACTGCGCCGTGCTGCCGGCTTCACTCAGGAGCGCCTCCGTGACGCCGGCCAATCGTCGCAAGGTCGCCGCCTGCTCCTGCTCCACGGTGGGCTGCGGCTGTATGACGGCCACCACATCCGGCGAGATAAAGTGCTTCACCTCGATGCCGCCCACAAGGAGCTGGAAGAGCTCCCCTCGGCGCAGAGCGTGCTCGAGGCGGGCCACCTGCGCCATGTCCACCTGCTGCTGCTCGGTCGCCGCGGCCTTCTTCTTCCGCCTGTCCGCCGTCTTCACCTCCACGGCGGCCGGCGCCCGGGCGGCGTTCGTCTGCAGGGCCCCGACGCGCTGCGTGAGCTGCTGCCCGTTGCGATCCGGTGCCCCGTAGAGGACCCACAGCTCGATTATGTCGCCAGCTTTTACCTCGGCCACGCCTTCAAAAGCAGCCATTTTCATCTGAAAGGTAAGAAAAGAGACGAGGGAGCGAGTATGGCCATGGTGGGCGGGGTTTGAGGAGGGGTCCGTGGATGTCGATACGGATGCTGTGGCTGTTCCCTGCAGCGCAACTCTCCGCACGACTGCCACGGCAAGCACGTTGCTGCAGGATGGCATGACACTAAACCTTTGGGGGCCAGGCGTGACCTGCGCGCAGAGAGGCTTCATCAGCCGGCAGATACCCGGTGACAAGTACTGCCGCGGCAGGACCGGTACGTTGCTCGACGTGAAGCCGACGCGGACTTCATACGACACCACCGCCGTGAAGGTCGACGCAGCGGGAGAGACGATGGCCGCACTGTAGGGGTCGGCACGGATGGACCGCGCTCCGATGACGACCACGTAGTAGCCGGCCTGCGGCACCGTCAGCGTGAACGTCTCGGTGTTCGTCGTGTCCACCCGCTGGTGCCACACCCAGCCAGGGGCCAGCGGTGTGTTGGACGAGACATCCTCGGAGAGCGCCTGCAGGGTGCCAGAGAAGAGCACACAGCACAGCTCCGTCTTACCAGGTGCTTTGTTTGTCAGCGAGATGTACGTGGGCGTGCTGCCGACGGAGATGGCGGCGTGCGAAGGGTGGGAGAGCAGCTGCAGGCCGTAGTGATAAAAGGCGGGCGTCACACACGGCTGGATTACCCAGTGCACCGCCCGTGTCGGCGTCGCAACGAGCGACTTGGCGGCGTCGTTGGGGAGGTGAGACGAGAGAAAGAGGCAGGGGTGCGTGAAGAAGAAGAAGTCGCGCCGCAGCTCCGCCGGCGTCGTCGACAGCAGCCGCGGAACGCCCCAGCCGGCGGTCGCGTCTCCTCCTCCGTCGTCCCCTCCTGACGTGTCCTTCGGTGGCGCACCGGGGGCGGCGGTCGCAGGGGCGGCACCCCCGCCAGCAGCGGTGTGAGACGGTGTGGCGAGCACTGCGGTGTCCGCGGCAGGGACTGGAGACGGCGCAGGCGAGCTGCGAAGCACGCCATCGGACAGTGCAGCAGCGGCATCCACCAGGTAGGCTCGCCCATCAATGCGCAGTACGTTCCACGCCCACTCGACGGCCTCACCCGGCGCGACACCCTTCAGCCGCCCCACCACCACTTCACACTTCACACCAACGGCGCCGAGCATGCTGGCGTACAGCTGGGCGAGGAGCAGAGGCGTAGCACGACGTGCCGCCATGGCCTGCACCAGTGGATCCACCGGCTTCGGTGGCTCCAGCGCGGCTGCTGCGGCCACCGCCGCTGCCGCCTCCTTCTCCTTCTTTGACAGACGGTTTCCTTTTTTGCCGGCCGATACGCTGCGCTGCGGCTTCGTCGCCGTCGCCGCGGGTGCACCGTCCGCCTCTCCGGCTGTCTCCTCGAACAGTCGCAGCTGCAGCGCGACGTGCGCGCACAGCCACGCGTAGACGCAGCGGGCTTTCTTAATGATGCACTGCGTTGTGGTCTGTCGCCACGTAACGCTGTTGTACGGCGCCGTCAGCTCCTTCGCCACGGCCTCCCAGTCCGACACGCCGCTGATGGCGCCGACGTCCTCGCATCGTTGATCGGCCTCCTTCTTGGTCTCTTCGCTGATGCCCCAGTCAGCGGTATCGGACAGGGCGGAGGAGTCCTCGCTGCCGTAGTTGATGAGGTGTCCGCTTGCAAGCGACGGCTGAAGCGGCGTGGTGTTGGGAAACGATGTTTTGCTGCCTCCGCCGCTGCTCACGTCCGCTGCACCGCGGGTGCAGCTCTCGCGCTCGACGCTGAAGCCGAAGTGATGTAAGTAATCCGCGTAGCGCGTCAAGGGCATCTTCGCCTCTGCGTCCTCGTGCTGCCGCGCAAAGCACTTGTAAAGGGAGTCGCCAAACTGCATTAAAGGGATGGAAGGAAGGCATTTAGCGGGTGCGGGATCGGCTGCTGCGGGGGACGGCCTTCCACGAGCGGCCGCAGCCGCGCCGGATGCCTTCATTGTTCCCACAAGTAGTTTTGAGGTTGTTGCGTCTGTGTTGTGCGGTCTCCTTTATCAAAGAGCGTTGGGCGGACGCCAGTAGGCGGGAAGTGCTGCGACGAGTCTCTTCAGCGGAGGTGCGCTACGCGACGGCGACCGAGACCGCTTTGGGCACGGCGGCGTAAAATGACTTTTCAGCGCCGCAGCGCATCGCGTGTGTGGAAGGAAAACAAAAAATGACAGAAAGCGAGAAGAGAGAGAGGAGAGCACAAAGTAGGGTTTCAGGCGGCGCATCGGCATAGGAAGGTGAGCGACTCCGCCTCCCTCGCTCTAACTCAAAATAATAAACTAGAATTAAACGTAAAAGGGTACACAGAGAAACACGCGCGCTGCGTGCAACAGGCGGGTGCACGCTGCGCAACGATCACAGCACACTTCCTCTATGTTTTTTTATTCGGCCGCCAAGCACGTACGTTTCTCCTTCTGCCACCAACGCTCACCAACACAATCCCCTAGACCTCAACAGTGTTGATGACAATCCACATATGATGTTGTGCTGGCGCTTTGCTGCTGCGTTGACGAGGGACGCATCCGCGCCGACGCGCAAACGCTGTTACGCACAAGAGAGAAAGATGAAAAAAGCTTCGTTGTTCCTTAGTGCGCCGTGGGCCGAGGCGTGCGATGGCTGCCGATGTGCATGGGCCCGAGACGGCGCCGCACCGTCGCAAGGGAAATATCAAGCATCGCAGCGTGAGTACAGCCCCTTCGACTATCTGACTGGCAACGTAAACGGAAACCGCGAGACACAAAAGCGCGTGACCTTATCGCTGCTCTATGGAAAAGCATCGAAAGCGAGTTCGTTAACTTCTATTATAAGCGCAGAAACAATAATACCGGGCAGCGTTCAACAACAACCACACCGCAGTCGCCACGCCGAAGAAAAACGGGCAACGCGCAGCACACACACGCACACACGCATAAACTATTGCTTTACACAGACCTACCTTAGATGAAGACAGCGGAATTTAGGAAAGACTCACCTCCGTGGTGAGGATTTGCTGCTCAGCACAACTCGCCGACGCAGCTCAGGTGACCGTAGTGCGGGTGCCTCTTTACTGCTGTTTCGACTTGGAGAGCATCGGTGTCGTCCCCCTCCGTCTTCACACCGACAGACAAATGGCGCCAAAAGAAGGGTTTAAAACGCAACTATTTCTTGTGTGACGGCACCTCTTGCCATTGGGAGAGCTGAAGAAAAAAAAAATTGCTGACGTGCACTGCCGCTCGCCGTCTCCTTGCAATCTGCCGAGAGAGCGCACTGGCGGCGCCGATGTCTTGGAGCGCTTCTTCATTCCTTTTCACTTAACCGTCTCCAACTCACGCTCTGCCGCAGCATCGATGATCGCCGCCGCGGGGACTGGAAGGGGCTTGCGATGGTACATCTCCGCGTAGGTAAACAGGAAGAGCTCGAAGGAGTAGATCTGCGTCGCCTTACTCACCACACTGCGCAGTATCTGCGGCGCGAGTCCCTTGTAGAACCCAAGAAGGCCGTCGGCACGATAGATGTGGCGCATGGTCGGCAGCACCCGCACGTAGTCATGCCTGCCAGTCGCCTTGTTCACCGTGCGTAGGTGGTTCATGACGACGTTGTACGGGTAGGCGATGCTGACGGCGGCCAGCTTCGCGATCATCGTCAGCGAGACCATCGCCGCGGAGGTCCACCAGAAGCCGCGATCACCAAAGTTGCCCTCGTGCGTCACCCGCTTCAGCAGCTCGTACACCGTCCAAAAGCAGCCTTCTTCCACAAATCGCCCGGCGACGTTCGTCACGGTGCCGCGGTAAAACCCGCGGACCCCGTCCCGCCGCATCACGTCGGTGAACACCTGCCGAATGGTGAGTCGGTCGTCCACCTGCACGCGGGTTCGCACCAGAAATAAGGGGGAGAGCGCCACGTTGGTGGCCGTCACCGCACCGAAGGCGCAGAGCAGCGGACGGGCCTGTTCATTGACGCCCATGTCCGTCAGCTCGTTCTTCAGAAAGCGGTAGGTGGGCAGGTAAATCGCGTTGGACGGCATGGAGGCCATAATGTTGGCGCCCAGGCCGCGACTAAACGCGTGCAGCAGGCCCTCATTGAAAAGCTCCTTCGCAGTGATCCATAAGCTCTTGTGGGTCTTGCCGGTGGCCGCACGTCCCGAGGAGAGGCGGACGCGAATGGTATCAAGAGGGTTCGTGACGCACGTCGAGCACACACCAGCGAAGCCGCCCGCGAACACAGACACTAAATTGTCGTTCTCCGTCCTCGTTGTGGAGGCCATGCCGCTAGGAAGAGAGAGCAGAGAGTGAGAAAGCGTATGTGCTGGAAGGAGCCCCGTGTTTCTGTGCCGCTAAGACGCGAAAGGAGCTGTCCAGCAAAAGAGCGGCACGTGAACAAAGCCAGATTTTTCCGCGGCGCAATTCTTCCTCTTATCCTGGAGGAAAGGGCGTTGGCTGCTAGAGAAGACGACGCGCTGCAAACACCGATGGACGCAACGGTGACGACGCAGCTGCAGGGCCGATATCAACGTTGTACGCGAATCTTCTAACAATACAGAAAGAGAGAGTGACGGAAACCTTCGTCAATTTGACAACGACGGCTGCTGAGCAAGCTGAGGTGAAAGAGAGAAAAACAAAGTCAAGAAAAACGGTCGCGTCAGTGAGAGGGGAACAAGGCAAAAGTGTATGGCACGTGGTTTACGTGGGTGTAGAATCTGTTGTGCGTCTCTAAAGGAGGAGTGTGTTCGTGTGCCAGTTCGCAACGCGCCGTGGCAGCGGTATTTCTATGCTCTAACTTTATTTCTTTGAGCATGGTGAAAGCAATGTAGCCATGAAAAGCCAAGAAAGAAGTAGGAGGCACGGGTGTTTTCTCTTTCATCAGTCTTAGAGCGAATGCGATGGCTGCATGCACGGTCCATTGCATCATAGCAAGCGATGTGGCGACAAGAGCGTCAGCTTCCTCTTCTCCACAGTAAAGTCCTTGACCCTGCCCGCAATCTGCGAGACGAGAGGGCTGCATGGTGGACAAGGTGCTTCAACTGCAATGTGGCGGTGTCGCCCTTCGCCTCCGCCGTACGCCACTCACGTGTCCTCAACAGTAGCTGCGAACTGTTAGAAGCGGAACAAAGACTTCTCGGAGAGCTGCGGCCCTACCACTTCACGAGAACCGTGGGAATATACACGAGCGTTGGTTTATTCTCTCCTTCTATTTTGAAAACAAATTACGGTGTTAAGCGCGCTTTAAGGAACAGTTAAAGGAGACTAGTTGAAAGGGAAAAAAATACACCTCCAGACGTCTACCAAAAGCCACCACAAACGTGCATCGACGTAACCGCGCACTCCGCCGCATCGACCCCACGGCGGTGCTCTCTTCTCGCTCGCGCCGAGCGCGCCGGCAAAGATGCAGGTGAACACAGCAACAGCGGGCCGACACCTCCAGTTAGTGCTTCTTAACCCGTTTCATGTGGCGCGACTTCTTGTGGCGCGGCTTGCCGTTGCCATGCTTGTACGGTGCGACGCCCTTCTCCGCACGCGACGCCGCCCGTCGCTCCTTCGCCGCCGTGCGGATCTTCCGCTGCTTCAGCTTCTTCACCACACCCGCCTGAACCTTCTTCTCGCCCTTCTTGCGCAGCTCCCGCGCGCGTGCCTTGACCTTCTCCGTCTCCCGCGCCTTCTTCTCCCGCTCCACGCGGCGTATTTTCTTCTGACGGTGCAGAATGTCCGACTCCTCGCGCTCGAGGTTCGACAGCGCGTTCTGGAAGTGGTTGATCGTCACCTCCGCCTCCTTCTCGTAGAGGCGGCGCGCCTCCGCCTCCCGCTTCCGGCGCTCCTCGCGGCTGAGACACCACTCTCGTTTCGCCTTCGTGGTGACTTCGCTGAGGAAGCCGTCGCCGGTAGCGCCGTAGCGCTTTTCCGCCTGCGCGATCTTCTCCTCCAGCTGCTCCGCCGCAAGCTGCGCGCGGATGTCTGGGAATATCGCATCCACATCCCTCGCTGCCTTGGCCAGTAGCGCATCCGGCACGTCGCGGCGCTTCACGGTGGCCACCTGGTGGCCGTTCACGGCGCCGCTGACGGAGAGAATCTTCCGCATGATGTCCGCGTCCTCCACCTCGTGCACGAGGGAGACGGCGGTACCGGTTTGGCCGATGCGTGCGGTGCGCCCGACGCGGTGGATGTACGCCGTCAGCGTGGGGGGCAGGTCATAGTTCAGCACCGTCGCAACGCCCTCGATATCGAGCCCGCGCGAGGCCACATCGGTGGTGATGAGGTAGCGCACCGCATCGCGCGCGAACTTCTCCAATGCGTTGAAGCGCTCCTCCTGCAGCTGGTTGCCTTGGATCTCCGCCGCTGGCAGCCCGAGCGCGTTGAAGACGAGCGCGAGGCGGTGCGCGGTGGTGCGGTAGCGGCAGAAGATGATGGTCTTGTCCTTCAGGAAGTTTTGGCACAGCACCACGACGTAGCGCGTCTTGGCTTTGGCGATGTGCTCCTCCTCGTCTTCAGCCCGGTGCGCCGCCTCGCCGCCGTCGCCGCCGTCGTCGCGCTCGCCGCGGGCCGCCTCGCGACGTCGCTTCGCACGCAGTCGCTTCTCGCGCGGCGTCTCTCCGTCCTTTCCGGTCACCGCCGCAGAGCCGTCGGTGCCGTCGTCGCCGTCGGCCGTCTTCGCTGCGGGGGCGGTGGTGCGGACGCGCACGAATTGCTGCCGCAGCTGTGACTGCAGGGCGACGTGGCCGACGTCGATGTTCACCGGCTTGAAGAGGTGTTCCTTTGCAAACGCATCCACCTCCTCCGTCATGGTCGCGGAGAACATCAATACCTGTCGCGTCTCCTCCGGCACGTGCTCCAGCACATCCAAGACTTGATCCTGCAGCGTCACCGTGAGCATCTTGTCGCATTCATCAAAGACCACCACCTCCACCCCGGTCAGGTCCAGCCCAGCGCCGCCCTTGTAGTTGTGGATGTAGTCGACCAGGCGGCCGGGCGTGGCGATTAGAATGTCCGGCACGGCGTCCAGCGCGGCCTCCTGCGCCGCCGGTGCCACACCGCCAATGGCCAGAGCGAGGGTGAGGCCCGTCGTGAACTGTAGCAGCTGGCCGAGCATTTCTTTGCACTGCACACCCAGCTCCCGCGTCGGCAGCAGGACGACGGCCCGAATAAAGCGGCGGTGGCTGTTCATCACCGTCGCCTTTTGCGGGGGCCGCGTCAGCAGCAAATGCGCGAGCGGCAACAGAAAGGCGGCGGTTTTGCCGGAGCCGGTGACGGCCCGCGCACACACGTCTACGCCGCGCAGCACGGCAGGTATCGCCTCCGCCTGCACCGGTGTCGGGGCGATGTAGCCGAGGTGCGAGACGGCCCGCACGAGCGCCTTGCACAGCCCCAGCTCCAACCACATCACCTTCTCCTGCGTCTGCTCGCTGCCTTCGACGGCCGTCGCGGCGGGATGTCGTCGCAGTGCGGCGGACTCGTCCTTGTCTGCCGGCAGGGCGGAAGAAAGAACACTAGCGGCGGCAGGGGCGGCGACGGAACTTGATGCGGCGCTGCTGCGCGCCCGTGCTCCTGTGAGTCCGCTAAAAAACGATGTCGTGTCCTCGACGAGTTCATCAGCAGCGGGGGCGGCGGCAGCGGCAACAGCAGGAGTTCGTGTGGAATGGGTGGGTCGAGCCCCTCGGCCACCGCGGCCACCGCGGCCGCCGCGCGCAGCACCGCGACCTCCAGAAGAACGCCCGCGGCCTCGCATAAAGCCTGTGGACGCGTTGACGAGAGAAGTCAGCTCGCAGCACCGCTGCAGAGGGAGCGGCGTAAAACAGGAGCGAGTGAGAGAAGACGAGAGCGAAATTTTTTGTGCACTCCCGTACGAACACACGCAAAACGGAGGAGGCCGTGACGGTCGCAAAAAGAAGGAGGCGGCAGCACGGTGATTGGTGCACGCGATAGAAGAAAAGAGAGGAGATGAATGAGACAACAAGAAGTAGGGTAACGCTGCTGGTGCGTTCTTCTGCAAAACAGAAGCAGAAGTTTGGTAGACTGCAGTCGCCTTCCAGCGACGAATCGACAGGTCACGATGTGACCTCCGTCGACACACGTGAAAAGGGCCACTTACCCCCCTCCCCCACTCTCCCTTCCATCCGTTTTCGACCACAAAGGGTACTCGGCAAAAGTAGCCATAGCTACGTTCTCCTCCGCTCCCTACTTCTCCGCCGGCATGCGGACATTGAATTCAAGCATTTCCGCCCTCATCGTTATGCTTGTTTCCTTGTTTTCTTTCTTCCTCGATTTCGATGATAGTTGCCTACAGTGAACAAACGCGTCTGCACTTCACTCACACACACACACAGAGAGAGACATAAAAATGCATGTATATATATATATATATATATATAGAGAGAGAGAGAGAGAGAGAGAGAGAAC